ACAAGAATGACACCTAGCTCTGATGATGTCCATCATATGATGGACGAAAGCTCAACAAGTTTTCACTCGAAATGAGGGAGGAAGTCTCGTGGACTGAGTCAACATAAATTTCTATAAAAGCCAAACGGCTGCAGTATAACGAGATTTATCCGTCCTCATCTAGTGAGATCGACCAACGAATCTCTTCTTCATGCCCTTTCATACGAAATGAAAGTCCTTTTAACATTGTTATCTCAGGGGATTTATCGAAATCCAGTTTCTCTTCGTATCCTTTTTATTCCTACAATATATTTTAACAATTTGTTCTTGTTCGATCCATTTTACTCGACACAAGTTTTGATGCACTTTAAGTTATAAAGCGTACATCTAGCACTTGGGCGTTAATATCCCTTTGCAGGAGAATCATGACATTGATTCTTATTATAATTGTCATTCTTACCATTGTCTTTTATTTATAGCCTTTCATGTATTCGACACACTTCTGCTAAGATTTTCCTGTTTTACTTATAATCTATAGATCCTATTGCCATGGTCTGCCCACTTGCAGATCATTTGGTATCCTGTAATTTTGACTGCTCATTCGTTTTTGTCTTTTATTATCAGACAAACTACACAATGCCCTGGCCGAGGCAGATGAATATAAGCAGCTCGTAGACTCTTTACGTAACCACGGTAAATATGACTCACTTTTTACTATGCTTCCTTTTTCAATCTCTTCTCTTATGCTTCGAGAAGTTTGCCGTGAGCATACTCACATGTTTAATGAGTAATCTAAAAACGAAATATTAGCATCTATATCTTGATTAGTTACTTATTATTTCACTTTGTAACTTTTTACTTGATTGGACACATACATTGGTCAAAATTCGCTCTTAATTTGTATCTAATATGTTCTGATATTTGCTTTGCTTTGCTTTGCTATGCTCCCTGGTTTTAATAAATAATTGGTCGAAAACCGCAGAATTCATTTAAACATATTTTTTGATCCTCTAATTTTCGTTAATTCCTATCTATCCTCTAATTTTATTAAATTGATAGCTCTCCTTGCATCT